GTTCGTATGCAAAAGAACGTAGTGTAAAAAGTACGTATGCCAAAAGTACGTACGGTTCGTATGCCAAAGTACGTAGTGTATAAAGTACGTATGTTAGAAGTAGGGTATAGTCGTGTAAGTTGGGCCACTTTTTCTTTATTGCTGCTCTGTTGCCATACTGCAGGGAACTCATGATAAATTCATATACCAAATAATATAGCTTTGTCCATTTCGCCCATTTACTCATCAATAAATTTTGCTATGCCTTGTAACAAATGCTCATTAAATAAAGAATCAGAAAGGTATTACACATTGATCAACTTAACCCAAGGGTGGGGTACGTACTTAATACCCTACGTACATTTGCTATACGTACTTTTGTCCGTGACGTACTTTTGTCCACACGTAGGGTAGACCGGGGCAAGTCGCCCCGCCGAGGTAAAACGCCTCACCGATGTTTCTCGGAACTGGCAGGGTTCTGGGGAAAGATCCTCTCTTCTGTTAATCTAGTGCAGGGGTCGGCAAATGGTGGGGCATGCCCCCTTTGGCGGTAAATGGAGCCCTTTCGGTGGGGGTAATGAGGGATTCTGAGAAAGCCTATCTTTTTAGAGTTTGTAGCTCCAGTGATGGAGCCACTGGCGGATCCAAGGGGGGGCCACGGGGGCCATGGCCCCCCCCCAAAGGCCTAAAGTGGCCTGTTAAGCCCCCCCCCCCCAAAACGTCAGAAAAATTGCTAAGAAAATATACCTTGATGGAGGTTTTTAGCACACTTGGTGAAGTAAAGCTTTCCACAGCATAATATGGAAGCAATATGGTAGCAGTGAGGGTCAGTCAAAAGTTGCGCGAGTGGAGTCGACCTTCAAAAAAGACTGTTGTTGGCACGTGTTTATGGCGCGGTAGCTGGGAGTTGGCGGTGTTTCGCGTGGTGAGGCATCACTGGCGGATCCGGGGGGGGGGGGGCACGGGAGCCTGAGGTGCCCCTGACAGGCCCGTGGTGCCCTTGCTAGGTCTGTGGTGCCCCTGGACCCTGGAAGGCCTGTGGTGCCTCTGGCGGGCCTAGGGTGCCCCTGCTAGGCTGCTGATGCCCCTGGGACCTGACAGGACTGTGGTGCCCCTAACAAGCCTAAAGTGCCCCTAACAGACCCGTGATGCCCCCGACAGGCCCAAGGTGCCCCTGCGTGATGCCGTGTTGTCTGCGAGGCCGGTGGTGCCCCTGCGAGGCCGGTGGTGCCCCTGCTAGACCGGTGGTGCCCCTGGCAGGCCTGTGGTGCCCCTGCTAGGCCGCTGGTGCCCCTGGGCCCTGACAGGACTGTGGTGCCCCTGACAGGCCCAAGGTGCCCCTGTAAGGCCTGTGGTACTGGTACCCCTGCTAGGCCTCTGGTGCCCCTGACAGGCCCATGGTGCCCCTGCGAGGCTGGCGGCGCCCCTGGCAGGTATCTGGTGTCCCTGACAGACCTGGGGTGCCCCTCACAGGCCCGTGGTGCCCTTGCTAGGCCTGTGGTGCCCCTGGCGGGCTGGTGGTGCCCCTGCTAGACCGGTGGTGCCCCTGACAGGCCTGTGGTGCCCCCGGGCACCAAGGGGGGGGTCATGACCCATGTGGCCCCCCTTGGATCTCATCTGCCACTGATACATATCATATTGATTAATAATGGCGTTATGGCTTATGCAATATGCAATGGCAGGCACTTGGTACCCCTCACTTATCCCTCATTGGGGGCTCTGGCGGGCTCCTGAGGGCCCACGTCTATCTCCGGGAGCCCTAGACAGGCTCCTTTGGGTCCTTTCAGTCCACTATAGCATAAGAGGTCTCCATGCGAGTCCTATACATCTGAGGGCGTACCCTGACGTCTGAGGTACCCAACTGCAGCTCCAATGGTCTCTTATACTGGCGGATCCAGGGAGGGGGCATTTACGGCCATGCCCCCTTCCCAGAGGTCTAAAGTGGCCCGTTTGCCCCCTCCCCCAAGCGATAATGAAACATAGTTCAATCAGTGCCTGGCCCAGGAGCCGAGTTAGACAAGGGGTGTTTTACCACCTCCCGGCCCGCAAAGGGACCCAAGCACTGACTCGAAGCGGGTTAACTGGTCGACAAAGGCAATGGTAAGTGTTTACAAAGTAATATAAAGGCATGGGTCGGATGGGCTACCATTTATATATTTTTACTTTTAGTTAAAAAAAAAATATTCATAGTGTCAGGGCTGTGACGAAAAATAAGTGGCCTAAATCCGATGAGAAAACAGGATTTGGGGGTACCCTAGGTTTGGCTCCTGCATGAGTTGGCCCCCCCCCCCAAAACGCAAGCCTGGATCCGCCAGTGGATGGAGCCATCGTGGCTGTTGCATCCCAGGGTTCAAAGATTAGCCCAGGCCAAAGGCACAGCACACTATTGATTAGATACCAACTTTCACGTATGTACCTGCTCGCCTCACCATCTCACCCCTCCGTACAGTCGTTCAAAAGCAGCTGCAACTTTTAACCGTCGCCCGTCTGTTGGCGTTTCAACAGCCGCTAACGTAAGGGGGAGGAGTCGATCGGACCCCCGCGGCCTCTCGGACTCTGATATGGAGCTGTGCATAAAAAAAAGACGAGCGTGCTACCCGTGACCATAGGAAGCCGCTGCTGCCCATTTTTAAGGTCCTTTGTCATTCCGTCTCATTCAAGAGGGCAATGATAAGTGTCGAGAAAATCGGGACCCGCTATAACTTCTTGAAGTGAGATTTTATGGTAGAGTTGCAAAGTTTCCCTACCGCATTACCGGCATGCCGGTAAATTTTCACTACCGCAGGTTTTTTGTGGTATCTGGCATGTCTTGCCGGTAGCATGCCGGTATTTTTGGTTTTGCACAAAAAAAAAATTATTAGCATATGATTCAAACTTTGGACACTAAGAGGAAAATGTGGCATCTCTTGTAGGGGTAAACTGGAATCAACAATGCACGTTTTTTAGTATGCCGGTAATTTGGTGGTGTTTTTGCTTTGGGCGTGGTAGCATGCCGGTATCCCCAAAAAAAATTGTGGGGCGGGGCGGTGCCGGTAGCAGCCTTTGGGGGAAACTTTGCAACTCTATTTTATGGCTCAAGATGATCTCCATAAAAAGCTCATAAGCCAACGGTCATTATGGGTCCAGAGGCCAGTTTTACCAACAGAAAAATAGCCGCCTGCCGGAATTTTTGCCTAAAGATCGTTTCACATATGGAGCGTAAACGGTAAAGCCCTATCCGCTTACGAGCCCATCGCGTTTACGCTCCGTATGTGAAGCGGTCTTGACTGAGGCAAAAATTCCGGCAGGCGGTTATTTTTCTGTTGGTAAAACTGGTCTCAGGTCATGATATTTCCGGGCTGGTGAAAAAAAAAAATGATGGGCTCGAGGGTACAATTTGGTCGTGATCCAATGCCTTTTACGAGAGCTTTTAACGAAAAACCACCCGCCGCCCCTATACGTACAAGGGTTAAATGGGATATAGCATAGGCGGCGGAACGGGGAGGGCACCGGGGCACCGTGCACCCTTTGATTTTTGCATTTTAACATTAGCCCTATGGGCGTTGCATGGAAAGAATGGGACCAAAAGGCGGCAGTGCTCCCCCCTCCCCCTTAATTGAAGGTGTTCCGCCGCTACTGGGATATAGGCATTAAATGTTTTGTGGAGGAAGTGTCATGTTTTAAATTTGATGCGTTGGAAATGCACAAATACCCAAAGAGTTCCAGGACGGTATGGAATTTCAGTAAACATAGTTGTGTCAGCAATGGGGTCTGGTAGGTGGGGGCAATGGCCCTGCCTGGCGCCCAAAAAGGGGGCACGACCCCAAATGACCTGCCGACCACTGATCTAGTGTATGGGGCTTCTTGCCTCAGGCCGTGAGGTGTTTTGCCCTGGGGTTGGGGAAAATGCCCCATTTGCAGTTGCTTCACAAAGCACTTCCTAGCTGGGAGTCCGATCATAAGTGAATGAATTTGAGGGGTGGAATTTAAAGTAAAATGTCCAAAGAACACATTGAGCACAAATTTTGCCTTCCAGGTGATGTGAGACAAAAGTAGGTACATACCTATGTAGCAAAATAAATTATCTGTGGCGTCTTGCCCAAGGCTACCCTACTTTATACCCTACGTACATTTGCTATGCGTAGGCTTTTGTACGTGACGTACTTTTGTCCATACGTACTTTATACCCTACGTACTTCTGCGATACGTACTTTTGTCCGTGACGTACTTTTGTCCATACGTACTTTTTACCCTACGTACATTAGCTATACGTACTTTTGTCCGTGACGTACTTTTGTCCATACGTACTTTATACCCTACGTACTTTTGCGATACGTACTTTTGTCCCTGACGTACTTTTGTCCATACGTACTTTATACCCTACGTACTTTTGCGATACGTACTTTTGTCCCTGACGTACTTTTGTCCATACGTACTTTATACTGTACGTACTTCTGCGATACGTACTTTTGTCCTTGACGTACTTTTGTCCATACGTACTTTATATTGTACGTATTTCTGCGATACGTACTTTTGTCCCTGACGTACTTTTGTCCATACGTACTTTATACTGTACGTACTTTTGCGATACGTTCTTTAATCCTACGTACTTTTGCTTACGTACTTTTGTCCTACGTACTTTGGCGATACGTACTTTTGTCCTTAACCCCCGGCCCGCACCTGGTGCTCCCGGGCCGCGGCAGTCGACAACCCGTAAAACGTGACCTCTGCTGACCTCTGACCCTTACAGGTGACTCAGGTGCTGTGCTGACTGGATGACATTGAGCTGAACTTTCTTTTAGGGTCCATCCAGTTGAAGGTGTACATACCTGAACTTCCTGACTCCTTTGCTTATAGCCCAATCTTCTCGGATCTTAGCAAGAAACTTGGTTTGACTTAATCCCTCATTCAAAACTTAATCCTTCAAGGTCGCCACTTCAAACGGGTGACACCGTCTTACGTCTTACTTTAAACCCACACCTCCCTTCACCCCTATCTGTACCGGGGAACCCGTATCACTCGCGTTCTCCCCCACCTCACGTGCAGGTGACTCTGAACGACCTGCACGGCGCGCACAAGGAGCCATCCGCCGTGTCCCTGAAGCCTCCCAAGCTGGACCTGAAGCGTGTCTCGAGCAGCCAGTCTGCACTGGCGACCATGACGCACGCCGAGATGAGGCGCATGTTCGGTGGTGACCGCCGACTGGCCATGTTTGGCTTCACCGTGGAGACCATCACCCTGCTGCTGCTGCCCATGGTCACCACCAAGTGAGTAGCGCTGGAGGGAAGAGGGAGGAGGGAGAGAGAGAGGGGTCGAGGAAGACGGATGGTCAGATGAGACAGGGCTGGACACTATGACCCGTGTTTGGGGACATGTTGTCTGGGTAGGGTGGTAGGATGGTGCTGATTATTCATTGTTGTGTCGGAGAGAGCGGGCTTGGTGATGGATCTGTTTGTGGGCTCCGGGATTCAACGTGGCGGAAAATTAATGGTGATGGTTAATTGAATGTAACATTGCGTTCTTAATCATGTTTATGCTCTGCCTCTGATGGGTATCCAAACAGCCTTCGTAACTAGTCGCAGTAAATGTAACCACTCTATAGCTATTTCCCATCGCGTGACACTTTCTTCGCATGCACCGTGTCGCTTCCACTTGGAAATTGACTCGTTTCCTGCGTACAATGGTCCTGAGACTCGCATGTTTTCGCGCAAGACATACATATAATTCCGCGTTCCTTATGGTTTGTTTATTTTTCATTTACCAAAGTACCTATATTCTTACTTATTTTGAACGCGTTTTAGGTTACTTATGTCACGTACGGACAGTTCAGCAGCGTCCGGTTTATGTCACTGACACAATCCCATTGTCGCCTACAGGAAGGAGGCTCTGGGCTCGATGGGCAACGACGCGCCGCTGGCCTGTCTGTCCCAGTACATGCCGCTCATCTACAGCTACTTCAAGCAGCTGTTTGCCCAGGTCACCAACCCTCCGATCGACCCGTTCCGCGAGAAGATTGTCATGTCACTGGCCTGCCCGATCGGTACGTTCTGAGGGCAGTGCTGGGGGTGGGGCGGGGTGCGGATCAATTGTAGGAGCGTGGCGTGTCGGGAGGGGTTGGGGGGGGGGGATAATGGAGAGGAGCGAGACCGGTAATTGAGTGGATGAGTGTTCCCAACTGCCGCGCTGACGACCTGTTATCGTCGCAACGGGAGAACAATGCGAGCGAGTAGCTGGCAATATCATTATCGACGTTCCTTTGCTTTTGTTCGGTTAGCGGACTCTTGGGCGCCATAGCAGTGACGATGAACAAATTGAACCAATGGACTGCAGTTTTGCCAACACTTTACCTTGCTGTATGGACAGGAATTTTGTTACAACTTATATGCATACTTTGCAAGTTAACCCTGACCATTCCGTGAAATTATTGAAATCATTAGTAGTTAACTAACTTTGCCTAACGTCCCCAGGCTATTCAGTTTGCCCTGACCTGTGTGACCTGACCTGACTTGACCTGACCTTTCGCCGCCCCGCCAGGTCCGGAGGCCAACATTCTGGAGTCGAGCGAGCTCCAGTGTAACCGACTGTACCTGGAGCAACCGATCCTCTCTGTCAATGACCTGCAGGTCATCGTGGACTGCAAGTACAAAAACTGGCGGGTCAGTGCCGGCGGCGAACTGTGCATGAACACGAGCTGATATAATGTTTCTATATTTAAATTTTGTGGTAATTTCAAACATTGAGATCGATTATACATTCAGCTACCTTACTCAAGTCAGTCCCTCGCTTTACATTGGTAAGGAGTATGCGGACAATTTTATCGATACACGGCTGGAAATCTTGTAAAGTTTGTTTTGTTACCGTTAATTTTATTGGGGTCGTTTGTTTGAATTTTATGAAATACGTGGTTCACAATGGTCGTACAAAGGAGACCGTTTGACCTCAACTGCTCCCGGCCGGCCGGTCCATAAATCACTCGAGCTCCGCGGCGCTGGTCAGCAGAGATGTTACTCGGACGACATAAGTGGCCGTATTTGACGTTGTCTAATGATCCCTCTGGTCGTGTGCGGACCACTAATGATGTCATACTCAATCACCGCACAGTGGAGTCGGTGTGACCTTTACAATACCACCGACAAATTGTGACATGTACGAGTGTCGCCCAGACGCATGCCTCCGTCCGACAGAATAATTAATAGCCTGTGGTGATTTGCAGCGATTGTGTTACTGTTACAAGAACTAATGTGACACATTAGACATGTATGACTTCCTGAATGATTGCATAGAAGTTAACATTGATATCATTAGATGCATTGACAGTCACGAGACCCGTATGAGACACGTAGGTCTTGTTAATGCCATAAAAGATTGTATCGTGGGACAAAACTTCTTTTTCATTTGCTCATAACGTGTAGTGCTGAATGTACCCCAACGTGTAACGAGATGCATCTGCTAACACACGTTTTCCATGTGATATGAGGATATCACACTGGGGTACGTTTGTCCGACGCATAGTACATCACATGAGGCGGCACATCACTCCGCCTATCCCGTCCCCTACACCTGCCGTCATCTATAATTTCCTGTTCCCCCGTTTCAGACGTGCGTGATCGACGTGACGTACCCAGTGGAGAAGGGCGCCCGTGGCATGCTGTCGACCATTGACCGGGTGGCCGGCGCCGCCTGCCAGGCCGCCAAGGACGGCTACCAGCTCATTGTTCTCTCCGACAGGAAGGCAGGACCCGAGAGGTGAGGAAAGGGTCAATGGTAGAGGGTGTAGAGTAATGCCAAAGGACGGAATGATCATCGAGGAACACCCTTCGGGGATATGTCACTGTCGAGCGACGAAGAGGCGCATATAGGGAGGAGTGTTGACTTCGAGTCATTGCCACTGCAAGTTAGGGAGGCCATTCCAAATGGATAACGGTACTGTTGATGTTGCCCGATGTGACTGTTGGTATAGAGAGATATTATTGCTGTTTAGAAAGGATGTAGGTGCGTGGACTGCGTGTTACGCGTCGATGAAACGTATTTATTACTGAGTGGAACGCCAATGTCATTCCCCGAGCCCTTACCGTGAGCCCTTTGCTTGGATTGAATGCCACCATTCCCCTTCTGATTGTGCTGCTCCGTTTCTCGTTCCCAGGGCTCCCATGAGCCCTCTGCTGGTTGGTGATGATCGACCGTACTCTACTCTGCTGAGTGCTGACCGTGCCGCTTCGTTCCGTCCCACAGGGTTCCCGTGAGCCACCTGCTGGTGCTCGGCGCCACCCCATCCCCTGTTGACCGCGTTTCGCTTCTCGTCCCCAGGGTTCCCGCGAGCCCCCTGCTGACCGTAACGTTCTTTCCATCCTCAGGGTTCCCGTGAGCCCCCTGCTGGTGCTCGGCGCCACCCACCATCACCTGATTGAGGAGCGTCAGCGGATGAAGGTCGGCCTCATCGTTGAGACCGGAGAGGCTAGGTCAGTGGACAAAGTCGCTTACCGTGGCGACTCTGCCATACTCACACTCTCTGATGAACGAGGTCGTTTGGACAGATAGTGGCGGTCGAGGAAGCGGTTGATCTTCTTCGGGCTATATTGGCCTGGGGGAAGAAGATCGATGGACGAGTTTGCACCGCCTCATAATTTCAGCTCAGGTCGTTCTGAGAAAACCAATTTTCGTTGAATGACCGTCCTATAAAGCGAAGCTATTTATGTACTTTACGAACTTAGGCATAATCTCTTTAAGGCATGAAATTTATTTACGAAATTGTTTCACGGGATAAGATGTCAATGACTGAAGTTTTAGAGATGTATGGTTATATCAATGGTAGGAGCTCGGGCATCTTCTTCAATCACTATAATATTTTGCCGTAACAGATAGTTGACGTGTCATGATGCTAAATACGTGTACAACACTAATTTATTCGAGACACCCGTTCGTTAGCTGCACAAACCCTGTTAGCGACCACCGAATGCCGCCCCACTCTGCCTGACCGCCGCTCCCGTTTCGTTTGTGCGTGTATGTGCTCGTGCAGGGAGGTGCACCAGATGTGTGTGCTGCTCGGGTTCGGTGCCGACGCCATCTGTCCCTACATGGTGTTCGAGATCATGGCCGCCCTCCGTGAGGAGAAGGTCCTGGATGAGACCTTCACCGACAAGGTCATCTTCACGGTAAGTGACGAACACACCTGTCTTGGAGGTGGGTAAGGGGAGGGGCGGGGCTGACCAAGACTATCGAAATCTAGGTAAAGTGTGGGTATATGGTGCTCGAGAGGACCTTTACGTTCGCACAGCAGACCGGGTATTTTTAGCGGATTGGTAGTTTGTGTCGACGCCAGGTCTAATGCCCGGATATATGAAGGCATGGCTCCTGGTTCTCGTGACAAGTCAGGACTATAAATGAGGCCTCTTGCACCAAACTACCTACCTAGGTAATTTCAGCTTTTACCTAGATTCTCTTGCACCAAACTACCTACCAAAAAACGCTACCGTGAAAATTTACCTAGAAATTCTACCGAGTGGCAAAGAACTTACCAATTGTTAAAATCCGACCGGCTGTTTTCCTCTTGCACCGAAAGCCGGAAAGAAGTACTCGCGGAGGAATTTTTGACGATTTGACGGTAAACGCGGGCTTCCAAAATAACTAGCAAAACCTTAGGTAAAATGATTCAATTAGTAACAATAGGCACAATACATATTAATCCACGGGTACTTTTATGTAAATTAGGCATTACAAAATGTTTAGACAATGAGAAATCAATATTTTTATGAGTGAATAATAATATAATTGACTAAATGCTCCATGGGTTCACAGAGGTGCTTCTCCGTACCAAGGCGATAAACCTCCGTAGCAGAACAGCCAGGTTGAAGACTCACTCGTTGCCATGGAAACTAAGCTTATTTGTTCAAGTAATTTAATATCAAAATAACTTCTATCGGTATTTACGTAAATAAAAAATGATTTCATAATACCAAAATGTATATTAATAAAAACAATATCCATTTAATTGTTTTCTTAAGTTACTATTTGTTTGCGCCCACAAATAATTCGTCGCCAAACAGCCAATCAAAACAAATCCTAAAAACCCGAGCTGTCAAATTTACCTAGGTAGGTAGGTAGGATGGTGCAAGAGAAGCTACCGCCGTAGGTAGTTTTACTAGGTAGGTATTTTGCCGATTCTACCTAGCTAGGTATTTTGGTGCAAGAGGCCTCAGGACATTGTGAACAGCCTGACAGGGAAATTGTGATATGTGGGCAGAGGCCTCTTGCACCAAAATACCTAGCTAGGTAGAATCGGCAAAATACCTACCTAGTAAAACTACCTACGGCGGTAACTTCTCTTGCACCATCCTACCTACCTACCTAGGTAAAGTTGACAGCTCGCGTTTTTAGGATTTGTTTTGATTGGCTGTTCGGCGACGAATTATTTGTGGGCGCAAACAAATAGTAACTAAAGAAAACAATTAAATGGATATTGTTTTTATTAATATACATTTTGGTATTATGAAATCATTTTTCATTTACGTAAATACCGATAGAAGTTATTTTGATATTAAATTACTTGAGCAAATAAGCTTCGTTTCCATGACAACGAGTGAGTCTTCAACCTGGCTGTTCTGCTACGGAGGTTTATCGCCTTGGTACGGAGAAGCACCTCTGTGAACCCATGGAGCATTTGGTCAATTATATTATTATTCACTCATAAAACATTGATTTATCATTGTCTAAACATTTTGTAATGCCTAATTTACATAAAAGTACCCGTGGATTATCGTGTATTGTGCCTATTGTTTCTAATTGAATCATTTTACCTAAGGTTTTGCTAGTTATTTTGGAAGCCCGCGTTTACCGTCAAACCGTCAAAAATTTATCCGCGAGTACTTCTTTCCGGCTTTCGGTGCAAGAGGAAAACAGCCGGTCGGAGTTTAACAACTGGTAAGTTCCGATGCCGCTCGGTAGAATTTCTAGGTACCTAGATTTTCACGGTAGCGTTTTTTGGTGGATAGTTTGGTGCAAGAGAATTTAGGTAAAATCGGAATTTACCTAGGTAAGTAATTTGGTGCAAGAGGCCTCAGCTCTTCATGGCTACCGGCCCATTTGTCCGACCGGCATATTACTGAGTTTCTGGGGACTTGTCTCTGCCCAACGCGCCAGAAATAGTTAATGTAAGCTGCACTGTCGCCTTAAAGCGCTAGGCCCAGGTCATTCTGTTCTTTTGATGTGCCCTGGTAATCTGCAGATTAACACTTACTTTGAACGCAACTCAAACTCGTTTTGTGAGTAGTTGATGTAATAAAGCCTTGGAGCGAACCTTACGTAAAATGACGATCGTTATTCTTGTAACAGTTTAAATTAATTTATCGAACTTTGTTACGAGTGGACGATATTACGTTAATATCGTACTTTCATCGTGGAAGTCAGCGGCAGCCAGCGTTGCGGAGGTGATCAGCAAAGGTCACCATTTATTAATAACCCCGGACGCACTCGACAGTCCACAGACATGTGTGTGATACCGTGACGGCTTATCTTCCAGAACTACGTGGCGGCCATGTCCCGTGGCATAGCCAAGGTGATGGCCAAGATGGGCATCTCCACGCTGCAGTCCTACAAGGGCGCGCAGATCTTCGAGGCCGTCGGACTCAACCACGAGGTCATCGACAAGTGCTTCAAGGTAGGTGCTAGAAGAAGTCGGTCTCGGTACTGCTGTTGGTGCCCTGTTCTCATTCTTTGTCTGCTGATTCGTAAAAGTCCTAACACGACGTGTCTGATATTTTGTTTATTTGTTAATTTTCAAGCAGGCTAGGCTACTTCAGAGATATCCTCCATGATTGTAGCCCCGCTTATTCGAAAATCCTTCCACCATTTCATGTCATGTGTTCTTTGCCCAGTAGCGAAAAGAGTGAATCACACAGCATCCAAAACTGCAACCGAGTCTCACCAACGGTGTGTATCGTCGCGACTGGAGGATATGACTGGAGGATACTGTTCCCCGATACATTCATTCGTACCACTGTGTTTCTCCCTTCCCCAGGGCACGGCGTCGCGACTGGACGGCGTCACGTTCAAGATGCTGGCTGACGAGGCTCTATGCCGCCACCGTCTGTCCTACAATCTCCGAGAGTGTGACACCTACGTGCTGCCCAACCCGGGCTACTACCACTGGCGCAAGGGCGGCGAGAAACACATCAACGACCCGGATAACATCGCCAGTCTGCAGGTCGGTGGGGGGGGGGGAGGGGATGGTGGACGTTGTGGAGGGGAGGGGTGTTAGGTGGAAGCAGAGTATATAGAACGTCGGTGGAAGGGTGGGTGGAGGGGAAGGGGATGACGGGAAGTGGATGGTGGGAGGTGGTAGGTGGACCGTGGACCGTGGACCATGGACCGTGGACCGTGGACCGTGGGTGGTTTGATGTGGAGGGTGTGAGCTGGACGTTGGACGGTGGGCAAGGCGATAGACAGCTGGGGAACAGGTGTTAGAGACGATGCCAGGGGAAGTAGCCGCGACTGAGGACGGTAGCTTCGGATCTTCAACAGTTCGTCATTTGGTGCTGTCTGCTCAAATAGTTCTAGGGATGTCTCGTTGCACCGTTCTCATCGTTCCAGTGATAGATTTGAAAGTTATCGCTTGGTGAGCGGTTGTAGTCAGGATTACCGTTCTAGTGGCGTATCTAACAGCCTGCGCTCCTCTCATCGTCCGACAGGCGGCAGCGCGCACCAACAGCAAGAACGCCTACGAGCGGTTCGTGGCGTCGAGCATGACCACGATCCGCGAGTGCACCCTGCGCGGACAGCTGACCATGGTCGAGTCGCAGACACCGGTGGACATCAGCGAGGTCGAGCCGGCCAGCGAGATCGTCAAACGCTTCTGCACTGGTCAGTGGTCGGTCACTAATGGCTGGGAGAGGGAAGAGGGGCTTTGGATGGAGTTACTTAAAGGACATTGGAAAAGTGGACACGAGAGAGATGGTTTGGTAAATGTTGATGTAGTTTACCTACTGATTAGTGAAGAAAGTGGAAAATGAGGAAGAAAGGTGAAGGACTGTTTATGCTACGATATTATGACCTCAGGCTCCAGTTGACTGTTGGTTGGAACTGTCATTACGCATTCTGTTACATGGATTGTTACATCACTGCAATGCACCACCGAGTGCACAGTTGTGACTAGTGATGTCAATTACAGAAAATCAGGATACCGATACCAAACCAAATACCAACCAAAAACCATGGGAATATACCGGAACCAAACCAACTTTGGAATACCAGGAATATACAAACTTTTTACCAAATTCGCAGCCTCTTATACATTATTGAGGATTCATAATACCAACAAAATACCAAAAACATAAGGTTGGAAATACCAAATACCAAGTTGGTATCGGTTTGGTATCGGTATACCAAAAAGTCGGTATCCGAAACCGAATGACATCTCTAGTTGTGACGCATTGTGTTTTTCGCTTTCCGCACTTGGCGCCACCCCACATTCCGTTTACACCGTCCGCTGTTGACTCCTCCCACCCTTCTCCAGGCGCCATGAGTTTCGGCAGCATCTCGTACGAGACGCACACGACTCTGGCCATCGCCATGAACCGGGTCGGCGGCAAGTCCAACACCGGTGAAGGCGGCGAGAACTCTGAACGGTTTGTGATCGAGGACCCCAAGAACATCAAACGATCGGCCATCAAACAGGTTTGTGCTGCCGGCTGGGAGGAAAACAGAGAGAGGTAGGAGGTATAGTCCCCGAATGGGACACGTTACTTGGGTTGGGCTGGCTAATTGTTAGATAATTTTGGTCCTCGATGTTCAAGGAAAGCGCTGCGATTAAATTGGGCTGGGGCCGCCAACCTAGCGTAGTGAGTACGAAACAATGCCGCTAGCTCTCCTTCTTCATGCTTGTCGATAACTTGCGAATTGAATTCTCTTTTTCCTTACATATGTTTCGTCAGTCGTCGAACTGTGTGGCACTTCCTGAAAGCGGATTTTTGTTGCCAATTACGGAGCCTCTGTGTTCCGGATCTATATGCGCACCGTCAGGTTTATGTTTATTTCCACCACCACTCACCACTATCCCCGTGTTTTTGCCAGGTGGCCTCTGGCCGGTTCGGAGTGACCGCCACCTATCTGGCCAATGCCGACGAGATCCAGATCAAGATGGCGCAGGGAGCCAAGCCCGGAGAGGGTGGCGAGCTGCCCGGACACAAGGTGAGACTTGGTGGGGATTGGAGATGAACCAGAGACTACATACGTGCAGGGCGCTGATTGAGTCGGGTTGCATGGTCGTTTGCGTCAATCAGGCAGCATTTCTGCTATTTTTCCACATGAGTTGGTTACCTTTGTTTTTGACTTGGGGGCAACAAAGCATAGACGACTTTGTGTCACCATCCAGTGTAATGGGTGAGCTTCGTGTATTTATCTTGCCATATTTGTCACGTTGGCTTGAATACTTGTGTGGTGCAGCTGCCTAACCCACATATCCATAGCTGCGTCCATAACTTCTTCCCCCGTCGATAGGTGTCTGAGGACATTGCGAAGACGCGTCACTCGGTGCCCGGCGTGGGTCTCATCTCCCCGCCGCCGCACCACGACATTTACTCCATCGAGGACCTGGCAGAGCTCATCTACGACCTGAAGTCGGCCAATCCAGCGGCCCGCATCAGCGTGAAGCTCGTCTCCGAAGTGGGAGTCGGCGTGGTGGCCAGCGGCGTGGCCAAGGTGAGTACGGTTGCTAGTGGCTTGTACAGTGGTTTAGCGTATTGGGACCTTGAAAGGGTGATCTGGCAATGGTGATTATAGGAAGCAAGAGAGATCAAACAGATGCAGTTAATTGTCATCAGAGGAAACTAGAGTTTGGCCACCCAAGTTAAGGAAGTGCTGATTAAGGTGGTTCACCATTATTGGTGTATTTTGCAACATTCAAAAGTGCCTTTTAAGACAAACAGTGGTACATTTCGACGAACACTGACCGCTGCCTGCGTAGGTTAATTATTCCCTTACTATCCCTGTCCCCCGTCCCGCTGACTAACGCCCCGTCGTGACCCCTCCCTTTCTGCCTCTGTCTACAGGGCAAGGCCGAGCACATCACCATATCGGGCCACGACGGCGGCACCGGCGCCAGCAGCTGGACGGGCATCAAGTTCGCCGGACTGCCCTGGGAACTGGGCCTGTCGGAGACGCACCAGACTCTGACGCTCAACAACCTGCGCTCGCGCGTGGTGCTCCAGGTCGACGGGCAGATCCGCACAGGTGAGAGTAGTGGGGGACTTTAGAGAGATGGGAGGGTGCGATTTGTAAAGGCGATAATCATGTCAGGTAATGGCGAAACCTCAGGTAGTTGCTGTATACTGTATAGTCTTTTAGTTGCTTGGGTTGTGTCGGATTTTATCGTTTCGGTGTAATGCGTAGTACTTTTAAAAGTTTTGGTTTTATCACGGACAGGAAATTTATTAGCACACGTTACAGCTAATTGCGCTTAACTTACATTTGTTAACAGCGGGACAGGCCTCATTGCCGTCGACCAATTTCTGATAGCACTATTCCGTCGTTAGTTGGTACCTGTTATCCTGGCCTTAGCTACATCCATTTAGCAGTGGTGAGGCTGCGAGCGGGCAGCGTCAGGTCTAGATGGCCCCGCTCCGGGTCAGTGAGGCTCACCTCCAGCTCAATATCGCCCGTGTTGAGCAGCGTGGCCACGGTTCCGCCGTCGGGAGTCTCGGCCACCACGCTGAGTAGGTCTCCCTGCTCCACGCCGGCGTCCAACACCGTGGAACCCGGCGGCACAAACCTGGCGAAGTGGCCCATCGCATAGAACATGGGCTGCTTGTAGAAACGCTGCAGCTCGTCGTCTACGATGATCGGAGAGTCGACGAAGTTACTCACCCAGTTGGGTCCGCCGTTCATGTCGAGCGCGATGTTCCAGTCGATCCATCCGGTCACCCAGTGGTTCAGGTCGCGGATGATGTCGGCAGCGTAGTTTTCGGCGCGATGCCAGCTGCCCAGCGCTACCTTCTGGATCTCCCACGGGTAGGAGCCCTCGCAAGCCTCAGTGTTGAGCAGAAACTTGTCCGGGTGGTGGTTGTGCGTGGCCGTGAGTGCGTCAGCAGGGAAGAATGGGTCTCCGTACCAATGCACGGCCACGCCGTCCACGTAAGCAGCCGCCTCGGGATCCGCAAGCACGACGTCGGCCCAGGCGGGCAGCAGGAATCGCTGGTCGTCCAGGATCATCACCTTGGTGGCGTTGAATCGTGACGCCCGCAGCGTCGGACCCAGGTTGGTTTTAATCCACTCTGTCTGCGACTCAGCCGTCCAGCCCATGCAGTTGAAGGCGAACTCGGGGATATCGCCGTCAATAGGCTCGTTCTGTGCCGTGACGCCCCACATAGAGATACCCTCCTTGTCATACTCCTCCAGGAATCGGACGAAGTAGTTAGCCCAGGTCTGATAGTACTCCGGCAGCAGGTGGCCCATGCCGTTCAGCGCACCGTTGCTTTTCATCCAGGCGGGTGCCGACCACGGAGAGGCGAACACTCGTACCTCAGTGTCAGACACGGCCAGCGCGCGGCGTAGGTACGGCAGCTTGTACTCTGTGTCCTCGTGAGTCAGCGAAAAGTTGGCCAGCACTGTGTCTCCAGCCACATCGGCGTACGTGTAGGGATGGGTGGAGAAGTCGCAGCCACCCATCGGGACGCGCGCCACCGAGTATCCGATGCCGTCCGGTCCATAGTAGGAGTTGATGAGCTGCTCCTGCGCAGCCTCGGGCAGCTTGACGATGTTGATGCCGGCGGCGTCGGTGAAGGCGCCGCCGAATCCAAACACCTCCTGACGGCGTTCGGCGCCCTCCAGAGCGATCCGCAGCTGCGCCAGTCGGTTGGCGTCGCGCGGCTCGGTGCTCCAGGAGGCAGAACTGAGCTGGAACCGCGCGCCGGCTCGGGTAGACGTGATGACTACGGCTTCACCGGCAGCGGGCGCCGGTACTTCAGGTACCGTGTCGCAGTAGGTCGCGTTACAGGCGCACACGACGCTGTCATGGCCGAACTTGACCGGTTCGCAGGGCACCGACTCCGCAGCGGTCGGTGAAACCAACACTGCTACGGCGAGCAGCAGCACCACCGCTGCCATGGTCGAGCTGAGGTCTGTGCCGGCGAGTGGCGTATCGCCGCTGAATCGGTCCGGTCGGACCACCAAGCTTTACTCCGTCCCCGGTCGCGCCGACACTGACACTGACCGAGGGCCCAGTCGGTAACGACCCTATCTCGGCCCATCTGCCCGGCGTCAGGCCTGGCGGCAGTGGCGTGGCTTTGGAAGGCGGCCAGCCGGAGAGCGGCTCCCAGGGGTTTATTTGCCGGCCCGACGGCTCGGAGCCGCTATCGGATGAGAGTTTGACAGCTGCGGAAACATTCGTGGCCGAACGGCGGCAGGGTCAGGAAACGGCCGCGATTTGTTATCACAATGGCCGTCAAGCGGCGTTCATTAGTCTTCTAGGAACATGTTTGTTAGAAAGTGGAGTGTCGATGAAAGTAACGGGGTGTAGATTGTTCAGACGGTATCCTCAATCATCGTTTTTGTGTCATGTTAAATATGTGCCGTTTGTTTTACATATAAACATGCTTTTCACTTCATGCACGAATTAGAATGATAAAGCGAATTCTTCAAGCTATATCATGGTGTCATTTAGGACCTATCTCCTACCTATCTCCAGCTTATTATATAAATTAATCACTTATCTCCCGATACACGTTCCTTTCGCCTTCGCCCCTACGATTCACGGACACGGCTCCCTTTCTGTGAGGATGAGACGTGCTGGTGAAACCGAACGTTTCCCATTAATCACATCTGTCTGTCCTATCAGTCACGATCTAACCTTGCTGATATATTCGTCAGGATTCGACGTGCTGGTGGGCGCCATCCTAGGTGCCGACGAGTTCGGCTTCAGCACGGCGCCGCTGATCGCGCTGGGCTGCATCATGATGCGCAAGTGTCACCTGAACACGTGTCCGGTCGGCATTGCCACCCAGGACCCCGAGCTGCGGAAGAAGTTCGAGGGACAGCCGGAGCACGTCATCAACTACCTCTTCTTACTGGCCGAGGAGGTTAGTAGGATGACTGCTGGTGGCTACAGAGATTCGGGGAGAAAGGAGGGAGGGAGCTATGTAATGCTGATGCTAGAGGCGATGAGAAATGTTATGGGAATGAGTATGGGCTTGCTTTAATCTATCGTAACCGCATTCCTCAAAGCATTTTCTTGGTCAAGAATACTTCGAACGGTGGAATAGACGGCAGCACACGATTTTGTAGTGATACTACCAATGTTTTGACATTGTCTACCATCTACTTCATGATGTAATCACCACTTTTTTCTTCAGGTTCGTGGCTACATGGCCAAGCTTGGCGTTCGCAAGTTCAACGACCTGATCGGCCAGACCCAGTACCTGAAGCTGCGGGACGACCTGCCGCCCAAGACGAAGCTGCTGAACTTCGCGCGTATCCTGCTGCACGCTCAGGATCTACGGCCCAACACCAACATCCTCGGAGGGAGCGTCGCTCAGGTAGGGTTGTGTTGGAGCTCCCTCCTTGAGGTGCTGTCCAGGGAAGGTTCACTCTCTGTTTGTTATCCGTGGGCTCACTCTGGGTAATGTGCTTTTAAATATATGCCTGGCCGTGACAGACAGTCTTACATTTTGACGCGTCATTTTATCGACTCGTCTTTAAATCCTGTAATCGCTTTGTTGCTGTATTTTCTACCGCCAGCTGTCCTTATGTTCACCCATTCTCTTGTTTCGGTGTGCTGACGTCGTCACCACCCGGCAGGACTTTGAGCTGTCGACCCGAATGGAGGAGGGCATCATCGCCCAGTGCATGGACGTGATCGACGGCAAGACGGACCGTGTGCACATCCAGGCGGACATCATGAACAACTGCCGGACGTTCGGCGCCACCCTCAGCTACCACATCGCCAAGTGAGTTAACGACACCATGATTCTTACAGATAACCGCACCTGCTGCCCTCATGTTACAGTCGTCTAGTCATATCCAGAATCATGTCACAATCTAGCATTGCAGTCCCCGTGCTCACGCCTAGGTCGGAAGGATAGCCCGCTGTCTGACTTTTCTCGTACCCGACCCCGCTGGCTGTCGCTCTTCCACCCGCTGTCCGGTCAGGAAGACACCCTGTTGTTATCTCTAATTTGTCGCACGCTAACCGTCGCACCTCTCCGTCTTTCAGGAAGCACTTGGACGCCGGCCTTCCGGACAACAGTATCCAGCTGGACCTGAAGGGCTCGGCCGGCCAGAGTTTCGCCGCCTTCCTCTCCAAGGGCGTGCACATCACACTCGAGGGAGACGCCAACGACTATGTCGGCAAGGTGCGTCATACATTATACCAGACACCCAGGCTGAGTCAAACCTTGTCGAAGTGGAACTTTCCTACGGTGATTACAGATTGTGTTAAGAGGTTGTTTCAATTGTCTGGCTATAAAACCTAGCTAAGTGTTATTGCTGGTGCCTGAGTATCATTCGGGCGAGCTGTAAGGGCACACAGCCACGAGAGTATGGTCGGTCGTTGATTACTGCGACTGCTACATCTTTTCGGTAACTGTGAACTATCTGCATTTCGACACTGATTGATAATTAAGCCGCTGCTTCTCATTTCCATCATTGATTCAGTGCGCGCTTCATTCCACATTGCTTGATTTTATTAAGTTCGTTTTAGTGCGTGATAAGGTCACATTCAATCACGGGAGAGGGAACTGTCAAATAACTGGGACGTGAATTGACTCGCCAATGAACCCGGACTACAGAAGTTTTAATGTTAAACGTCTTCAACTCTTCACGGCCTGTAGACATTCGGACATCATCCTCGGCATATTGAGATAACAGGAATTAACCTTTTCGCAACATTAGGAGTGGACTAACTAACCCGTATCAGCGAACGCCTGACCTTGTGACCCTTCCCCGCAGGGTATGTCTGGCGGCGTATGAGCGGACGTCTGACCTTGTGACCTTTCTCCACAGGGCTTGTCTGGCGGCGAGCTCACCATCTACCCGCCCAAGGGCATGCCGGAGGAGTTCCACTCCGAGGACAACATCATCGTGGGCAACGTGTGCCTCTATGGCGCCACCTCGGGCCGCGCCATGATCCGGGGACAGGCGGCCGAGAGGTTCTGCGTGCGAAACTCCGGAGCCACCGCCGTCATCGAGGTCAGGAGGGAGAGGGAGGGGCTGGGGGATCAGGGGAGGGTAAGGGGGTTTCGGAATAAACAGTAGGTCAAGTAGCTTGGTATCATTGTGAATTGAGTGAATTGCCAATCCCAAATTGACTTTTCGGTGGTTGGTTTTTAACGTAATTTTGAGCATATTGCTCGCTCGAGACGAAGTTTGTCTGCAAGAGTTCCTGAAATGGTTCTAAGAGGATGTCATTTGTTACCACTTTTCATTAGACTGAAGGCTAATTATGGTATTTCTCTGCGTAACTTTGCAACAGCTGGTCAGGGTGCCTAATTTCGCTGGGATAATGAAAAGATGCAACTCTAGTTAGCTACCACTTAATATGTCTAACGTTACTTTGTGCTCAGAGCGTGTTACATTTTTCGTTCTAACGTGCAAGCTTCAGATTGTCTGGCAACATCAGTAGAATACAATCCCGTATCAACGACGGCTCACACCAGCCGTCTGTTTTATCCGAGTATAACGGGCGGTATATGTGAGGGAAAAGTAATATGTCTCACGGGCGGTAAAAGTAATATTTCCTAACATAATTAGTATTTATCCGAGTAGCTAGCCCTGACCGATCAGACCCCGTCTCCCGTTGTTCCCACAGGGCGTGGGTGACCACTGCTGTGAGTACATGACCGGCGGTCGGGTCCTGATCCTCGGACCCACCGGACGCAACTTTGCCGCCGGCATGTCGGGAGGCATCGCCTACGTGTACAGCGAGGTGGCCGAGGACTTCCAGAAGTGAGTGCGCCAAACGCCAAAACAATGTGGAGATAGCCCAAGTCGCTCTCAACATTTGCCTGTTGAGGAGAGCGACTTGGGCTGTGTTGTAATTGCAAGTTTTCCTATCGAACTATGAGGCTTTTGAAAGATAAATCGTAGGGAAAGTTCAATATAGTTAAGTTACACAGTCGGCAATGCGCGTTGCATTGTTGGAAAAACCGTTAGAGCCGCTCTGGTGTGCCTAGGCACTTCCGTTACCTTAGTAGTATCAATAGTAACAGCTTCCGCCTAAGCGAGATCCTTCAATCAAAATTATCGAATGCTCTTTATTCTTTAATAGGTGTGCCTACCACTTATGTTTCATTCCCATAAATTGGTCGCACTCTGGTGAGAGATCTACGTTATGAGAGTGTTACTGGAGGTCACTTACTCACGACCGTCTCTCTTCCAACACCATCAGGAAGTGCAACATGGAGATGGTGGACCTGCTGCCGATGGAGAAGGAGGAGGACATCATGTTCGTCGAGGCGCTGCTCCGTGAGTTCTCCGAAAAGACTGGCTCCCTGGTGGCCCTGCGCATCCTCGACAACTGGCCAGAGAGCGTCAAGAAGTTCACCAAGGTCGGTTACGGATGTAACGTAGACATAACGTAGAGTCGTAGACGGAACGTATGACCGTGTGTGTGTGTGTGATCGCTGACCAGCTTCTGACCGTAGCACCATTTTCTGATTTTGTTACCAGCCTCTGGCCGTCTGACCGTTTGTCCCCACGTCAGACCTGCTCCTGACCATGTACTTTCGTCCGTCCAGGTGTTCCCATACTAGTACCGTCGGGCGCTGCGCCAGCTGACTCTCCTTTTGACCGTCTGTGACCTGTTGTCTCACCTGTGTGACCTTATGACAATATTCCAGGTGTTCCCGTACGAGTACCGTCGGGCGCTGCGCCAACTGGCCGAGGCTGAGTTCAAGAAGAAGCAGCTGGAGAAGAAGAAGGAGGCCAAGGAGGAGTCTGACGAGGAGCCGGACGTGCTGGACATCGAGGACTCCATCACCGACCCCGAGAAGGAGAAGAAGGTGCTTGTCAAGCTGGACAAGATGAGGTCAGTCGACTCGGCGGTGTAGCCGAGCCGTAGTCTATGTGTTGGCATCCTGCTAGAGCGGTTCTTGCTAAGACTGAGTTTATTACTGAGTTAAATCGCCTTTCGCTTTATGTCAAAGCCTCTTGAGAGGCATTTCACATAGTGTCTTTCTTACATTGGCATTGCAAGCACTTCCTATGTGTGTAGGGCAATTGACACACATCAGCCACTATAGGCTGAAAGTGCCTGCTTATCGAACTTATTTCGTACGCTTTGTGCGTGGGTTTTAGCGACCGTGTTCTTTCTTATATGAATTGTATTCGCAACCCCAACCATTCTGTTCAAACCAGCACCTACGTCCCACATACGTGCAACGTCTAACCCTCCTCACCCTCCACCCCCAGGGGCTTCCTGCAGTACGACCGTGAGAAGATCATGTACCGGTCGGCCGCGGAGCGGATGAAGGACTGGAACGAAATCTACAACCACAAGCTGGTGAAGAAGGGACTGCGGCGCCAGGCGGCAAGGTGAGTGCCACACGGATTGTGGCTTTCTCCGTGCTCGTAGGGGTAGAGACAAGAGTGCCATGCCTGTTCCTCGTCTTCGATGACTTGGTCATTTGCCGAAATTAATGAACATCGTGTTTCCTTTTGCGTTTTGCTTCCGTATTTGAAAAGCCCAGGTTACTTGCGGGTGTGCACGGTTGCCACTGGTCGGTCTGTGTGTCGGTCGTTCACCGCCTGCTCACCGCTCGTGGGTCTGTCTTTAGTGTCTGACTATCTTCTAATCGCTGCTTTGCTCTCTGCCAGGTGTATGGAGTGCGGCACGCCGATGTGTCAGAGCACCACCGGCTGTCCGCTGGGCAACATCATCCCCAAGTGGAACGACCTGGTGTACAAGGGTCTGTGGGAGGAGGCGCTGGACCACCTGCTGCAGACCAACAACTTCCCCGGTCAGTGCGACCGCCGCTCGCTGGCCTCAGTGGAGACATAAAAGTTAAAACTGATATTGAGTCTTGTCAGCGCTCGATGATATTATATAGAGAGATTGTAAGGAGCGAATAGTTTAGCCTTGTGTTCTGCTTATACAAATGCAGCTTGTCGCTTGGGGGGAGGGGGAAGGGGGGCAAAAACTGACGGACGTCTGTTTGCCCTACTTTTTAGAAATTTATCGCAATTGACATGCAGTATTTCCATTTGCGTTTGACGGGGCAAATTTCATACATAAGTCACCTGAACCGTTCCCTTTCTTCCAATTCACCACCTCACGTTGACTCGTCTCTCCGGTACAGAGTTCACCGGCCGCGTGTGCCCGGCGCCGTGTGAGGGCGCCTGTGTGCTGGGCATCATCAACCCACCGGTCACCATCAAAAACATCGAGTGCGCCATCATCGACCACGGATTCGAAATGGTGGGTCGTAGGGTGGCATTTACCTCTGACTGTATTGCTAGTCATGAGCCATGCGGACAGGATCAAGACCCCCGAAGAAAGCGCTGACATTGTTAGTGTGCTGGTATCACTCAACATGCGCTCATTGCTTTATCTCCATACTCGCGGTCGGTACAAGCGTGATGCGATCTGTTGTGCCTCATCCTCTTCACAGCTCTTGTTTGACGTTTTTTAGGACATTATTTGTCATATTCATCTCGTAAATGACCGTCGTCGATTTGTCATTTGTTCCATATGACCGTATTGCCTAATTACCCTCCCTCTTTACCAGGGCTGGGTGCACCCGGAGCCGCCGCTCAGGCGCACCGGTAAGAAGGTCGCCATCGTGGGAGGCGGTCCGGCCGGCATGGCGGCCGCCGCCCAGCTCAACAAGGCCGGCCACACAGCTGTCGTGCTGGAGCGAAACGACCGCATCGGCGGCCTCCTCCAGTACGGCATCCCCACCATGAAGCTGGACAAGGGAGTGGTGGCGCGCCGCGTCAAGCTGCTCGAGGACGAGGGCGTCATGTTCGTCACCAACTGCAATGTCGGCGTTGACGTCAAGCCCAAGGTGAGTCGGGTGCGGTGGGGTGCGTGAACTGTCGTCAGAATTAACGGCCGTTTCTCTACCACTCTTCAGCCTGTGTAGCGTAACACCTCGCCTCCCTCCCATAAAAACTCTGGTTGTGAGTCACGTAATTTGTCATCTCTCATCATGTAAGTTCTCATCTCAGCATGGTCATCACTCATCATGTAAGTTTGACATCCTCCGTCTGCCTGTTGTAAAAGCTGCTGTTAGAAGATTTCCTGTCCTGTATCCCTCCCAAAGTCGATGGACAATGGGCATGGACAATGGGCATCACTGATTTGCCTTTCTCCTGATGAGTATGATGTCGCACACCACCTCCCTCCCGCACGAGCTGCTGGATGATATAACGTCACACCCCGTCTCCCTCATCCAGGAGCTGCTGAGTGAGTATGACGCCGTGATCCTATGCACGGGTGCCTCCTGGCCTCGTGACCTGCCGATCCCCGGCCGAAAGCTGGAGGGCATCCACTTCGCCATGGAGTTCCTGGAGACGTGGCAGAAGAAGCAGATGGGTAACGACATTGACGAGACGCGCCTCTCGGCCAAGGACCGTGACGTCATCGTCATCGGCGGCGGAGACACGGGCAACGACTGCATCGGCACCTCCCTGCGGCACGTACGTAACGGGGAATCCAAACTAATGACCATCGCTGCTTTAGGAACGTGACCTCGGAATATGTGGAGATGGACGAGCGTTTTAAGTTGGACGTTTTGTGTGATTATTGAGTCGCATTTAGTGATTCTGCTGCAAGGGATAGCTAAAAGTGGGTCCATTCTTCTTTTGTCATGCGCACACGCTAGCTTGCCAGGCAATCTTATCAGGCTCAGGCTCAGCTGGGAAGTTGACCCTGATGACATGACTTGAGCTGATTCGGTTAATCATCTGCAATGGTTTTATAGGGAGTCGATTGTCAACATTTCACTCGCCGGTTGTCTGACCTATATGCCTGCGTTTTCGGCAGGGCGCCCGCTCGGTGACGGCATTCGAGATCCTGCCGCGGCCGCCGGACTCGCGCGCCAGCGACAACCCCTGGCCTGAGTGGCCCAAGGTGTTCCGTGTCGACTACGGACACGAGGAGGTCAAGGTAGGTGACCTGATGCCGCTTGAAGGTAGCGATATCTGAAGTTTGAATTTGAAGCTATCGATACATTTCGGTTATTAACTGCTGCTACGTAAATGCTCCAACATGATTTGCACTATGAAGTCGGTAAATCATCTTAATCTCGTTCAAAGATTACGAGAGAACCACTTCATTCGCTCTCTGTCGTTCTTGTGTAGTTAGTGCTTTCTCCTCTTACCCAGACTGTATACTCTACTAATGGTCCCTGACTTCCTCCCTCACCCCCCCCCCCCTGTGTCTTACAGCACAAATTCGGCGCCGACCCGCGCCACTACTCGATCATGTCCAAGGAGTTTCTGTCGGACGATTCGGGCCGCGTGTCGGGCGTGCGCACCGTTCGTGTGGAGTGGGTGAAGGACGACGAGGGACGCTGGCAGCTCAAGGAGCAGCCCGACACCGAACAGGTGGGTGCGGTAGTCACAATCAGCTCTTCGGTGAAGGGTTGTTTTCTAGTTCGGAGGCTATCTTATTGGTATGTTGATTGATAATTTGTGTATTACATATTACTCTTACAGCTTCCCTTGTCATCACACCAATAAGGTACCGAATTGTCTTACCTCGAAGTTCCTCTGAAATAATCGGCTTAACTGACTTAGTTTGACGTATTCTGTTATTATTGGTCTGACTGTGAAACGAGTCACACATAGACAAAGCCAGTGTGCATTTTATCACAAGCGTCCCGTGTAAAATATGTGACCAATGGTTATCGTCTCCCACCAGGTGTTCAAGGCCGACCTGGTGATCCTGGCCATGGGTTTCCTGGGCCCGGAGGCCGACCTCATCAAGCAGATGGAGCTCGAGCAGGACCCCCGCTCCAATGTCAAGACTCCGCCGGGAAAATACAATACCAGCTTGCCGGGCGTATTCGCAGCGGGAGGTAAGGCGATTGGGCGTGCCCGCTACGGCTTGGTGCGTCTACAGGGATGTAAAATGTAGTTACTCTCACCCGTGACGATGGAATTAAAATTGTGGAACATAAAATTGTTTATCATTGTTGGTCATTTTACACTTTACTTCGACGTATTCCTTCAGTTATTCCCGTTGACTCTACTGCTGTATCTACTGTTCATCCCAACATTTCATGAATGCTGCTCTGAGTGTCCGATCCGCTGGTCTCTGTCCGAATGTCCAGTTCCATAACGTAGTATGTCCTTCCCGCTCTGATTGTGTGTCTTCCTCCCTCTGTGAGGGATGCTCTTCCACTACCGTAACCGAGTGTCTTCCTTCGCTTATGACCGCCTACTCCCCCCGCTTTGGCCGAGTGTGTCTCTCCCTCTCTGACTAGTTGTGCCCCTCCAGTCTAACACTCGTCGGTCCCGCCTCGTTTCCAGACTGCCGCCGCGGCCAGTCGCTGATCGTGTGGGCCATCTCCGAGGGTCGTCAGGTGGCTCGGCAGGTGGACGAGTTCCTCTCCGACGGACTCACCATGCTTCCCAGCGAGGGAGGTATCATCCGCATCCCGGCCATGGGTGAAAAGAAGGCCTGGGACCCGCTGGAAGACTACGAGATACCCGTGTAGGCTACTAGCAGTCAGCGCCGCCGCTTCCGAGCCACTCTCGTCACCCGTTGCCCGAAGCCGCCGCCGGCTAGTCTAGTGCTAATAGTGGTGTGCTCAGTAGCACTGGAGGGCCAGCCGGCCCAGCTCGACATCCTGACCCTCGTCGTGGTGTGTGTGGCCGATCGTTGCTTCTTGTTTGGCTTACGGTGCTACGAGGAGATGCATAGCTGGCGGTTGGGCTAGATGTGCTGGCGTGAGACAGTACCCTGTCGTGTAGAATGGGTAAAGCGAGGTGGTCCCGCGTGCGTTCGCGGCAAGAGCTTTGGGTGCCGTGGCCGGACGTCCGTCTCGAGACAGGGCGCGGTTTTTGTCAGATGATCTGTCTGCAGCCAGAAGGACGGATTAGTGAGGCTGTCGGAAGAAGAGTAACCACGTGCGCGAGGGTCTCCCTGAGGGGCCGAGACGACGCTGAGTGAGATTCTGAAGCATGTTTTCTGTGAGAGCTTTTGTGAAGTGTGCGGTCGAACGGCGTGGCCCTCGACCCGTTCGAGCAGTATGTGTATGTGTGAATGAGTGAGTGTGGTGGAACCAGTCAGTCAGTCGACTCTCGTTAGAAATAAATGGTTTCTCTGCCACCATTGGTCGCTGTGCCTGCGTGTAGAGGTTGTGTATACCCACAGATGTGTAGTCAGGATATCGTCGTTTGCCAACAGTCTTCCAATAATCGAACAGCTCACGTATTTGTTGCAGACAGAAGTGGGTCCGACTCAGCTTTATGGGTACGCTGTAGGTATGGACAGCTGAGCTGTAGAGGACATGGTGCTGATGTAGCTGCGTATCGTGACCTCACAGTCAGCAAAATATATTCATGTGCGGCGAGGAAGTTTGAGCGAAAAGAGGCACGCTTGAGGCCAAGCGTGTTAGGCCAACGGCATTCGCTGTTTGAGCACACTTGAGGCCAACGACATTCGCTTGCTATATGTGTTGGGAAAATTGTGAAATTGTATTTTAAATATCGAATTTTAAACGTCAGCTATTCAATCCAATGATTGCCAGACATTTCTTTTGATTTAATGGATGGAGATGACTGTGTCACATTTTTTTTTATTTCCGCATTTGCCAAATGGATTAACACCTATCTCATTTGTAGATAAAAGCGCAGTGGCAATTAGCGATCTTTTTGTCATGTAGAAGCATAACCGATTAAACGATAGATAACCCACGATTGTCCACTCCCTGGTTACCCACGGACTGCGAAGCGTCCTCTGACCACAGGACGACTTGGCCCCCATCGCAGGCAAGATACACCCTACCGGCGTACTGTTGAACTGCTGGTTCAGGGACTGGCCGCAAGGCGGCAAGTAACTGAAGATGAAGCTCAAGAAGGTAGTGATCCGGTCCGATCCGGTTTCAACTGAGTGCGACTGCTAAGTCTGCCTCATAAGAAGCTCCCAATTGGTTCATGGCCTGTGCTAGTCTCTTTCGTATGACTACCACGATGAGCCCTCGCCGGACCTGTCAGTTGTCTACATCCTTGCGGTTCGGCCGAGAGGGGGTGGAGTGAAACTTCCCTAGCCGTTCCGACACCGATTGGGTCGAGCCTCGCAAAAACATGAACGTGTGCCTTCGCGAGACGCAGTGATTGGTACCCGGTTTTGAGGTCTTATACCAGCTGTTGAGCCGTGGGGTCAGGTCAAGAACCCTTTAAGTTCGGTGGAGGCTCGACGGCTCGTTTTTTGGTTGCTTAATGTAACTTCGCCAAAAACGGTCATAGAGCAGCGATTTTGACACCAACATGTTCGTCATAGTCAGGCGAGTGTGATGTTTTTTTCTGATTGAGGCCAACTTGGGGCGTTGACCTCAGACCAAAGCCAGGTCAAAGTCGCTCAGTTCACGAAGTTCGTCAGAGGCGGTTGACATGCATCAAATGAGCACTTGATCATGCCGCACATCAATTGATTGGACAGATCTTTTCGAGTCCACTGGTGGCTTCACCGACTCGAGAGCGTTCAATTTGATCGATATTTTTGCTAAAATTCCGATGCATTTGATGGCGTCGCATATGACGTCAGCTAAGATCTGAATAATCAAAAAGGCATCGGCTCTTTCAAGGAGTGTGTGCTATTATGATTTTATGTGCTTGAGCTAGTCGGTTAGTCTTATATCATTTGTGGTGCCAAAGTAAAAATTGCAATGTTTCTCACCGGACTTATTATAAAGGTGAAGCTACGTGACTGAACTGAGCTCATATGACCTATGTGAAAAAAGTGCGAGACAAACAAGCTTTGAGAGCTCGGGAGTTGTATGTCGACGGTCGTATTCCACTAGTACTCACTGTCCCACCTACCGTGTGTTGACGGTCATATTCCACTGGTATTCACTGCCCACCTACCGTGTGTTGACGGTCATATTCCACTAGTACTCACTGTCCCACCTACCGTGTGTTGACGGTCATATTCCACTGGTATTTACACTCCCACCTACCGTGTGTTGACGGTCATATTCCACTGGTATTGAGTATTGACAGTCCACCTACCGTGTGTTTACGGTCATATTACACTCCTATTCACTGTCCCACCTACCGTGTATTGACCGTTGTATTCCACTGGTATGTATCCTATTCACTGTCCCACCTACCGTGTATTGAAAGTCGTATAATACAGCATTCAGTCCCACCTGCCGTGTGTTGACGGTCATATTCCAAAGATTTCCTGCCATTACAGAGCTGTGTTTAAGCCACGTAGTGCCGTCTAGGCCTGTCTCTTCCATGCAGTGGCGGATCTACGTTGGGGCAAAATGGGCAATTGCCCCCCCTAAACGGAAAACCTCTGGGCAAACATATCTTTTTGCCCCCCCCCCCTAAAAAAACTACAACTTGAATACTAAAAATATGGTGTTTGAAAAGAAAATGTGAAATAAATGGAGGACTAGAAGGTTGTCATATTCGTGATATTAAGTTGTGAGCTGACAAAAAGTCCTCCGCCCCATGAATGTCAGTCCATCATCCATCAGCAGTGCCACTACTGCTACTGCTACCAAAAAAAAAAAAAATAACGCGATTTATTGAAACCTTGAACCAAGTAAACAAACCGTCAACAGCAGACCGCCAGACGCCAGTGGGGTCAGGGGTCACCACACTGGTGAGCGGTTGGACAGTGGTGGGTTTGCATGGGTATATAAGAAGTGTTTGCATAATTACGGAGCGAGCGAAGCGATCGTAGTCTTTCCTTAGATTAAAGGGACCCTCCCACCTTCAAAAAAGTTAATGAATTGGCATAAAAGTGATGTAGCGTGAATCACAAAGAGCGAAAATGAACATCTACCAAATTTTACCGGAAAATATTCAACCGTTTTCGAGATATAAGACTTTTATTTTTGTTTACTTTTTGGGAACTCCGCTGTTTCTATGACGTCATATAAAGGTTTTCTTTACGTCGGCATTTGGAAGCAATAATTTGGTATCAAAGTGCGACAAATATTGCGCGAATGATGCGTTTATCTTATCAAGGTCAATATATGATGGCCAACAAAGGATTCCAGCAAGGCCGTGATTCCAGGACAATTCTTCTTATGGCATTTTTTCGTATCGCAATTCTTCGTCTGCAAATCTTCGTCAGGGCATTTATTCGTATCGCATTACTTTGTCTCGCATCAGGGTATATGAAAATCGGCTCGCATTTCTTCTTCAACGCAAATATATGCAAGAGTAAGCATTGATGGACAAATAAATGCACCGACGAAGATTTGTAGACGAAGAAATGCGGACGAAGAAATGTCATGCGAGGATTCGTTCGGGTACCATGACATTTATGTGATTTCAAAGTCAAGGTTCACAGCTGATCTGCTAAATCAAGCCAAGAATCCAAACTATCAAAAAACTATAAATATTTGTTTGTCTGTCACAGAGGTCTCAAGCAATATAAGGTTGACATATGTTGAATCAAAAATCTACTGCCACAACTCACATCTCCTGCCTTAGTTTATCATTGTTGTTTTAACTTGCTTTCAAGAGAAACAGAAGCCAGTATCTGATATCACTTCAGATGATTGTTTCAAGATCTGAGTTCAAATGGAATTAAAAGCAAGATCAAGATGAAACAGGGATTATTGCTGTTAAAGTAGTTTGGCCATGATACAACAGGCACATAAATCATTAGCCAAATCAAATACTGGTTGGTTTGTCAAGATGTTTGTTGTCTGTCGTCTGTCGAGCTGCTATGAACACTGAACGCTCTCACTCTTACTTTAAAGAGAGTAGTTTAAGTTGAATGGTAGTGAGCTGTAATTAGACAAAGCAGCTATTCAGTGCTCACATCAAGCCAGGCTAGGAAATGGCATCAACTGTGGTGGGAGGAAGCAGGTTCGGCAGGCCTATGTTGTAAACTTCTGTTGTGTCTTGTGTTTGATCAACTGATGTTTTCTGCTCTGTTTTGTGCAGTGATAGTAGCAGGTAACTGCATGCTTGTCAAATTATGTGAATAAACGAATTCATAACATTGCATTTTTCTCTCCATGCAAGGAACAAGTAAGATGTTGTAGAAAATGTAATAGAGGGCTGCATTGCTGATTTCATGCACTTTATCAGAGCTTTATTTAGAATTGCTTTCCTGAAAGCTACACACAGGCCACAGCACTGAAATTCACAATGTCATAGCTTTTGGCAGAAAAAAAGAAAAGACTTGCCTAGGTAAAATTGACAAAGTATGGCAGAGCAGGTCTTGATGCGTATGCCCATCCGTGTGCTTGGCGAAGCCGAACTGACTGCAACACATTAACTCTGACCCACCATGGTGGCTGGCATATCCTGAACTTTCACCACTCTAAACAAGACAACTTTCAGCCCTCAGCATTGTATTAAAACACTGTACATGGCAGTTGACACTCAAAATTTGTTTCAGTGCCATCCACGGACAACATCAGTCGCCATTCACCAGGCCAGTAAAAACAGAATAGATAAAAGCTTCAAACCCATGTAGTCAGAGTTACTAGGTCTGCACCTCAAAACAAAATCCAGGTGACATTCACCACGCCAGTAAAAAAACAGGTAGGTACTTAGGTAACGTAACAGCTTCAAATCTGGTAACATGTTGGTCGGACTTAACACTACCATATGTACATACCTTACCTTACCTTACCTTAGAAGTACACGGAATTTTGAGGCCAAGTAGCAGGCCTATTGGACCGGATCATTACTTTAAACTCGCTCTGTTTCTATTGATCGAAGACTGATGAATATTGGATGTTTTTCCAGTGGGAGTCGAGTCGGGACTTGAAGGCATTGACAGTAGGTGCGGATACAACAGAGGGAGGCAGGCCGTTCCAGCTGTTGATTGCTCTGACTCCCAGAAAGTTCCTCCTCGCTCTTGATCTTGATCTTGGCTTGTGGAGCTTCAAATGATGGCCTCGAGTAATCCTGGAGCTTGCCAATGGAAGGAGACCTGGGCGCACATCGAGGGAGCCCCGGAGTATCTGGAAGACCGTTATCATGTCTCCTCGTAGGCGTCGATACGTAAGTGAGGGCAGGTCCAACTCCCTGAGTCTCTGCGAGTATGGCTTGGGCCGTAGTTCACGGACCAGCTTGGTAGCACGTCTCTGGACTCTCTCTATCTTCTTTTGGTCTCCCTTCGATGGCGGTCCC